TCACATAATACAACTAACTGTAAGCGGGTTTCTGTGTTTCTTCTACAATTCTAAAATCCATTGACCAGTAGCAATTAGATCAGTTTGCCAATAAAATGTCAATTTAGTGCCATCACATTGGTTAAGTGACGAGTTCTGAGAGTCAGGCAATATTGATCCTAAGCATTAGAAATTAACATTAGTAGTCCCAGAAAACTTCTAGCAAAACCTGAACAATTTCTGCACGATTTTAAAATAAAATCAAGCTAATTAAAAATTGTGTGTGTGTGTATATATATATATATATATATATATATATATATATATAGGGCACAATAAACAAGCAGATTTAGAATAAAGTTGTATAGTCACAGTAGACGTTATTTTGGAATAAAAATGCCTGAATTACAAAATCAAATAAGAATCAGATCCTAAAAATGAATGACAGCAATAGATAGGAATATTGTTTCTGTATAATCATTTTACTAGCTTAGCTGAGTGAAGATTGGAAATGATCTTACCTTACAGCAAGCATTGGATAGTCCTAAGACCAGCCTGTAAGTCTCCTGGTTACAAAGCTTCTGGCTGTGTGAAATTACTGTTATTTAAATAGTGTTCCGTTCCAGGAAGCCCTGATTGCCAGCCAATCACAGATTGTCACACTTGATCTAATGAAGAAAAAAAAAAAAGGAGGAGAGAGAAGAGAGATCACCGCTATAGACTCCACTCTGTGCGAATGATCAAGAGCATCTTCTGGCAAGCAGGCAGTGTCTTCTCTGCCTCTGCGAGAGGTGGGCTGTTAGTGAACTGGATGCTGCTTCCCATGAATGTCTTATGTGGGATTCTGTCTCCAGACTTCAAAGATTAAAATCATCTTTCACAGGAGATGCGGCGGTCTGAATAATGCACGGCAGCTTGATGCGCAGAGTATTGATGGGAGATTACAGTTTAAATAAACGATATGAGGTGGGCGTCATTCAACTGAGAATAATTAGAAGGGAAAGCGAATCGGATTAATGGGATTTTTTTTTTTTTTTGCTATCCATTGTCTAAATGAAATGATCTGACAGCAATTGTATAATCCTGCCTTGGCCGTCAATGTTTTGGGAGCTTTTAACCTCTTAAAGTGACATTAAACTCCGGTTTAAAAAATATCTATTCAATTCCAGTATGTGTTCTTAATTTTAAAAAGTGCCCTCTATTGTTCTCAGTCTTCTCCAAATTTCTGTTTTTTTTGCTGCTGTGATCTGTCTTCCTGTAAGAGGGTGGCTACGGTCATTCTCCATTGCCCACTCCAGGAATGGATTAGGGACTATAGATTTGTAGCACGGATACAATAGAGCAGTGCACATGACCGCAGCTAATGTGCACTGTACTTTAATAACCAATTTCTTTTCTTTCTTTTTAGACCAATGGTCTCCAAACTATGGCCGGGACCCGGATGCTTGTACTTATCCGGCCCTTGGGGAACTTTTTCTCCTACAGAAACAAGACACTATTCCTCTCACTGACACCAACAAGGGGGCATAATTCCTTCTACTGACATCAACAATTGGGCACTATTCCTCTCACTGAAACAAACCATGAGGCACTATTCCTCCCACTGATACTAACAACGGGGCACCATACCATGACACCAATGATGGGGAACTATTTCCCCAACTTACACCAAGAATAGGGTACTCTTCCTCCCCCTATTGCCAAAGCTGCATTGTTTACTCCCAATGACGTAGGACAATTTCCCAATGGCCACAGTCTGGCCCCCCTAAAATCTGAAAGCCAGTAAACTGGCCTTTTGTTTAGAAAGTTTGGAGACCCCTGGTTTAGACCATCATTCAAGTGAATCAAATGTGAATTAATATGACAATGTTGCTCTTTGGCAAAAAGGACTCGGCATGCGTTCAACCATTGAGCCGGAAGATTTGGAATGTATCATCTGTTGCTAGTGATTGATTTTTAATATGTAGCTTTTGGGACAATATGGGAACAAGTTAGAAGATGAGATGATTGATAGGCCCCAAACATTCTACGTGTGGAAAAATCAAGTAGCCCACTTGCTACAGTATATTTGGCTGCCAGCTGGCTGCAAGGATGTCTACCTTAAAGAGGTTGTAAACCCTTACATATACCCAGTAAAGTGACTGGCCTCAGGTGATACACAGAGATTAAACAAATCCTCCTACATAATTTGTACCTGTTTATCTGCAGTCTTCTCTTCTCTACAGCCATTCAAAGGGCTAAATTTTAAAACTTGTCTAGGAGCTCAGAAAAAAGGGGGTAGAGAGCTGAAGTTACATTCTGCAGAGCTCAGTGTGGAGAGTTCTGAGAGCTGATTGGAAGAAAAAAAAGACACACACACACACCCCTCCAACACAGCTCACAGGAACAGAGCTGAGGCTGTCAATCTGCTGGAGATCCCTCCCCGTCACCATTCTCTTGCAGAGGAAGAGACAGCAGCTAAAAATTACATTTAGTACTTCTAATTGAGACAAGCAGACCCTATAGAGGGATATACTTTGTTCATATTTCATGTTTAAGGTTTACAACCACTTTAAGTGCCGGTTCACATATATGCGGATTGGACGTAGTTTAAACCAAATAAAATCCGCATGACCTATAAAATAACATTGCTTCGTATGGTGCCTGTTACATATGTCCAGTGCACTGGCAGTGCGGATTCGGTGTGGTTTGAAAAAGACTCCTGTATAATTTCTGAGCAGTGCGGCCTGGTTCATGTGCAGATTACTGGCTATTGACTTCTCTGGGAACTGTTTCAAAACTGCGCATATGTGAACAGGATAAAATCCTGATCTAATCCAGTCCTGAACCTGATGTAAACCTGACATGAACTGCTGAACAACTACTGTGTTAATTAGCTGTGAAACCTGAGCTTCAATCCGCACCACACATGTGTGAGTCTGCTCTAAGTGTACCGTGCCTTGAAAAAGTATTCATACCCCTTGAAATTTTCCACATTTTGTCATGTTACAACCAAAAATTTAAATGTATTTTATTGGGATTTTATGTGATAGACCAACACAAAGTAGAACATAATTGTGAAGCGGAAGGAATATGATAAATGGTTTTCAATTTTTTTTACAAATAAATACCTGAAAAGTGTGGTGTGAATTTGTATTCATCCCCCTTTACTCTGATATCCCCTAACTAAAATCTAGTGGAACAGATTGCCTTCAGAAGTCACCTAATTAGTAAATAGAGTCCACCAGTGTGTAATTTAGTCTCAGTATAAATACAGATGTTCTGTGAAGCCCTCAGAGGTTTGTTAGAGAACATTAGTGAACAAACAGCATCACGAAGGCCAAGGAACACACCAGACAGGTCAGAGATAAAGTTGTGAAGTTTAAAGCAGGGTTAGGTGATAAAAAAAATATCCCAAGCTTTGAACATCCCACGGAGCACTGTTCAATCCATCATCTGAAAATGGAAAGAGTATGGCGCAACTGCAAACCTACTAAGACATGGCCGTCCGCCTTAACTGACAGGCCGGGCAAGGAGAGCATTAAACAGAGAAGCAGCCAAGAGGCCCATTATAACTATGGAGGAGCTGCAGAAATTCACAGCTCAGGTGGGAGAATCTGTCCTCAACTATTAATCATGCACTCCACAAATCTGGCCTCTATGGAAGAGTGGCAAGAAGAAAGCCATTGTTGAAAGAAAGTCATAAGAAGTCCCATTTGCAGTTTGCGAGAAGCCATGTGGGGGACACAGCAAACATATGAAGGAAGGTGCTCTGGTCAGATGAGACCAAAATTTAACTTTTTGGTCTAAAAGCAAAACGCTATGTTTTTAACACTGTACATCACCCTGAACACACCATCCCCACTGTGAAACATGGTGGTGGCAGCATCATATTGTGTGGGGATGATTTTCTTCAGCAGGGATGGGGAAGCTGGTCAGAGTTGATGGGAAGATGGATGAAGCCAAATACAGGGCAATCTTAGAAGAAAACCTATTAGGGTCTGCAAAAGACTTGAGACTGGGGTGAAAGTTCACTTTCCAGCAGGAAAACAACCCTAAATATACAATGGAATGGTTTAGATCAAAGCAAATTTGTGTGTTAGAATGGCCCAATCAAAGTCCAGACCTAAATCCTATTGAGAATCTGTGGCAAGACTTCAAAATTGATGTTCACAGATGGTCTCTATCCAATCTGACAGAGTTTGAGCTATTTTGCAAAGAAGAATGGGCAAAAATTGCACTATCTGGATGTGCAAAGCTGGTAGAGACATCCCCAAAAAGACTTGCAGATGTAATTGGTTCTACGAAGTATAATTTTCCTTCAACTTCACTATTATCTGCCCAATAAAATACGTTTACATTTATTGGTTATAAGATGATAAAATATGGAAAATTTCAAGGGGTATACATATACTTTTGCAAGGCACTGTATCTGTTTGTAACACCTAGTGGTATTGGGCTTGTGGAAAACATCCTGGACCAGCTTTTTTGAACCAGGATGAGAAGGAAAGCTGAGGTGCCTTCAGGTTTCTACAAGGGTACCTTAGAACGATGACTGCAAATTCACCAAAATTGTATGCAATCCAGCAGGTCAATCAACAGGTTTTCATTGTGCACAAACCTTCTAGCTGCCAGCATCCTATCAAACTATAACATCATTGGTTGACAAGGAAGATATCGAACGCTTGCACAGCATCCTTGTGTGCCCCTTTCCTGCCTTTCTCCATTAGCACTGGGGTCACAGCTGAGTGATGGAGAGAGAGTGAAGGAGTGAAGGAGAAGAGAAACTGGAATACTAGTCAGTTCCAGTGTGCAAAGGTGTGTTTTCTTTGGAAGAGTAAATCACCTCTAACATTGGGTGTCCTATGTGTGTGGATGTTACTGCTTTATGTAAAATTATTAGTTTAGGTTTTTACATTTTAGATTGGGGTGCCTCAAGAATATTTTGAAAGGGTGTCACAACTGAAAAAAATGTTGTGAAACACTGTCCTAGATATTGCATGCTGCCCTCCAAAAACGCTGCATTTACGCTACATTTTATTTACACTACATATATTGCCAAACGTATTGGGACACCCCTCCAAATTATAGTATTCAGGTATTCCAATCACCTCCATAGCCACAGGTGTATAAATGTAAGCACCTAGGCATGCAGACTGCTTCTACAAACATTTGTGAAAGAATGGGTCACTCTCAGAAGCTCAGTGAATTGAAGCGTGGTACCGTGATAGGGTGTCACCTGTGCAATAAGTCTATCCATGAAATTTCCTTGCTACTTAATATTCCACGATCAACTGTTAGTGGTATTATAACAAAGTGGAAGCAACTGGGAACAACAGCAACTCAGCCACGAAGTGGTAGGCCACGTAAAATGACAGAGCGAGGTCGGCACATGCTGAAGAGCACAGTGCGCAGAAGTCACCAATTGTCTGCAGAGTCAATAGCTAAAGACCTCCAAACTTTGTGTGGCCTTCAGATTAGCACAACAGTGCATAGAGAGCTTCATGGAATGGGTTCCCATGCCCGAGCAGCCGCCTCCAAGCCTTACATGACCAAGTGCAATGCAAAGTGTCGAATGCAGTGGTGTAAAGCACGCTGCCACTGTACTCTAGTGTAGTGGAGACGTGTTCTCTGGAGTGACCAATCACGCTTCTCTGTCTGGCAATCCGATGGACATGTCTGGGTTTGGCGGTTTCCATGAGAATGGTGCTTGCTTGACTGCATTGTGCCAAGTGTAAATTTTGGTGGAGGGGGAACTATGGTGTGGGGCTTACAGCATACTAAGACATTTTGGAAAATTTTGTGCTCCCAACTTTGTGGGAACAGTTTGGGGATGGCCCCTTCCTGTTCCAACATGACTGCGCACCAGTGCACAAAGCAAGGTGAAAGAAAGACTTGAATTACTACAGTTCTCCTGCTGGGAACTTTGGAATCAATTGATTCATTGTACCTGCACATATAGAGGCAATTGAGGACTTGTTTTAAATCTTATTTACTGTTTGTCAAAGACATACAGATGCCACGCCTACAGCCTGACCACATGTCTATCCTAAAATCTACATCTCTAAAGTCATGTGTAGCGCCACCCTCGAGGAAGCCACTTGGTAATTTTGGGTCCTCTGTTCTGCGCCTCGACTCCAAGAACAACCCCAGCGCCTCTGACACTGGTTGAATAAAATCACTGCGAGCATCACAAGTGTGAAATACCTTTTGTCTGGCTGTGGGGTATTGACAGTAAATGAACACACAACCATTTAGTGGTAAACACTGTTAATCTATTGATATGGATTAGCATAAATGGCAGTTGGAACATGACTGGACACACAGCAGGCAAGTTAGTGCAGTTTCTAAACAAGTTAAAAACTATACCCAAGTAATAGAAGGAAAGAAAAAATAAAAAAATATCTATCTATCTATCTATATATCTATCTATCTATAGCTATACATCACTGACCAGAGTCAATATGTAAATTAATAAGCCAGCAATAAACAATACAACTGAACGTTAACGTGTTTAGAATGATAGCAGCTCTATACTGGTTTTGAGTGCACTTAAATGAATGGGCAAGGGTATGGTACCACCTTAACTAGCAAAACGCTAGGGCTTTGGAGCAGTTCCAATTAAGGGCAATCTTTAGTTCTAAGTCTTTGCAACCTAAACATTGGAGCTCATTGGCACACATTGCGGCCATCAATAACGCCTGAAGGCAGTGTTAGGGCTATTGGATAGCAGGTTAGGAAGTTCCTAATGACTCAGTCTATATCGGTGGTAGCAAGTAATGAGTGCAAGGCCCTCTCACCAGAGAGCATCTATTTAGGTTACCCTACTTTTCACTTTTTGTGTTGCCTTCTCACCAGACCTAGCATCACATCAATAATGATCCCCTGGATGATCAAGTACTCTGGGTTGCCCTGGGTGACTCTGGTCTGTAGTGCAGCATGTCTGTACCCCGGTAGTAGCTCAGTTCCTCTCTGGCTGGTGGTGCTGGACAGAGTGCTTCTCCTCCTCTCTGGCGTCCCCCAGCCCCCAGGTAAAAATGCAAGCCTCGTCAGTGGTGACAGCATGCTATCTTCCTGTCTCTAATACGTATCCTGTGGCTTTAAGAATGTTTGGCTTTCTAATGTAGGACAAGCATAGAGATCATACAGCCAGAGACCCTTATCTGCCTATTTTCTATGGGGAAGTGACCAGAAGCATTGAAGCCAAACCATCAGCATGACAGTCAGGCAACTAGCATTTTAAGAAGCAGAGGACAGAAATGGTGGCCTAAATTTGTCTCCCGTCACAGGTTTCCTTAAAATGAACATTTTGCTATCTGTCATGCCTTTAGCAATTTGTTCTTTGTTAATTAGGCATTATTAGTATGCCTTATCAGTTTGTAATTCTCTGTTCATTGTGTAACTGCTCCATCTAGTGGCTGTTTGTATACACTGCATCTTTTCACAGTAGAAGTTTGACCCATTTCAGCTTCCATAGCTTGTAGCCTATTAACTCTGATTACATCATCAGCCCATGCTCATAGCAGCCATTTCCTCATCACAGACTCCATTCCTGTGGTATGCTGGTAGGATCCAGCCCTCACATTCAGGTTCACAATAGCATCGTCGGTACGTCTACACACATGTCTATATCTTATGCATCTGTGTTTTATGTAACCTACATGTCTTACATGTGTTTATATGTGCATTGCCTTACTGTAATGTATAATATGCTTTGTCACATGGCAGACAGTGTTACTAAGCGCCTTATTTTCTGTTCCTCAGTTTCACCTCTTATATCTTTGCAATAAAGACAAAGTTGGACGTTGCTTCTTTGTCAACTCATTGCGAGAAAGGTTTAGCTGTCTGTCAAGCTATGTACCTTCACAAGCTGGATAAGGAGGACAGAACCTGACTGCAGTGAAACGACGGCTTCTTACAAGCTGGATACGAGGACTGCGACTCCTGAAGTCCTGACTGCAGCGAAACGGTGGCTTCTCACAAGCTGGATAAGAGGAAACTACGCAGCATCGCCACCCGCAGCGGTTGCAAGTGTGCTAACCCGTTCACAGCATCATCATGTCAGCAAGGGAATCCGGACAGTTCGAGACAAGGTCTCGCATCTCAGTTAACTCCAGAGGCTCAGGGAGATCTTTGAGCAGCTCCACCGTCGCCATTGCCCGCGCGAAGGCCGAAGCCGCCAAAACCCGCGCGACATTTGCCGAACAAGAAAGACAATTAAAAATAGAGAAAGCATGCACGGAAGCAGCTCTAGAAAAGCTAACTGTGGAAAAAAGAAGCTGCAGCTGCTGTAGCAGAAGCAGAGGCTTTAGAGGAAGCAGCAAACTTCACAAGCGATAGACTCAGCTACATAAGTAGGCCCGAACCCAGTCTTCACAATAACTTGCAACGCACTTCAGATTACGTACTGCAACATGCTAAGTCAGAAGACGGCCTAAATCCAGGTCCAAGAGCGACATCAACCCCTGCTAAGGAGCTCCAACAGACTCCAGTCATACAACAAGCGACCTCAGTTAACCAAAGACCCTGCATGGAACAAGTCGACGGTTCCATAGAACATCAACCCTCAATGCAACCTGCATTCAAACCCACAAATGATCGCAGTATGGTCAAACCCTTTAAGGAAGAACAAGTAGATGGTGCCTATTACAGCAACAATCTGTCAAACAGAGATACGGGTATGTCAGATTTTCTAAAATTCTTTGCCCGACGTGAGTTAATAACCAAGGGACTCTCCAAGTTTAATGACAGACCTGAAAGCTATAGGTCATGGCGATCATCATTCAGGAATAATATCAGAGATCTGGATCTGTCTGCATGTGAAGAAGTAGATCTTCTTGTCAAGTGGCTAGGAAATGAGTCGACAGAGCATGCAAGGCGGATTAGAGACATTAATATTAACTACCCAATCAGAGGATTAAACATGATATGGGAGAGACTTGAGGAGTGTTACGGCTCACCAGAAGTGATAGAGAACGCACTTTTCAAAAGAATTGAGGATTTCCCTAAGATCCAAAACAAAGATTCCCAGAAGCTAAGAGAACTGAGTGATCTGTTAACAGAGCTACAAGTTGCCAAAACTGAAGGAGACTTACAAGGTCTGGCATTCTTAGATACTGCACGTGGTGTAAACCCCATAGTACAAAAATTACCGTACAACCTGCAAGAGAAGTGGATTGCTCAAGGCTCCAGGTACAAGCAACAGTACGATGTCTCGTTCCCTCCATTCTCTTTCTTTATGGACTTCGTGCACCAACAAGCAAAAACTAGGAATGATCCCAGCTTTAACTTCTCGATGTCTGACACCGCTTACCCCAAATCAGGTAAACCTATCTCACTTCGTAACATGAAAGGTACACCGGTTGCAGTACACAAAACCAGTGTGTCTCTTAAAGACTCCTCAAACAAAACCTACAGTACTACAGAGTCTGAGACGATCTCCACAAAGGACCCATGCAGAGAATGTCCTCTACATAAGAAACCACACTCATTGTTGAAATGCAGAGGATTTAGAGGAAAACTTCTCAGGGATCGCAGAACTTTCCTCAAGGAAAACCACATTTGCTACAGGTGTTGTGCCTCAACCTCTCATCTTGCAAAGGACTGCACAGCGAACATCAAATGCTCGGAATGCAACAGTGAAGCGCACAATACAGCTTTACACCCTGGGCCAGCCCCATGGACTCTCACACCCCCCAGACCAGGCTGTAGAGCACGGCGGGGGAGGAGGGAGACACAGTACCTCCTGAAGTGACACCCCAGTGCACCCAAGTCTGTGGAGAAGGTCTTAGTAACAAATCTTGCTCCAAGATTTGTCTTGTTACAGTTTACCCCATCGGTCATAAAGAGAAAGCGGTAAGGTTGTATGCCATCCTTGATGACCAAAGCAATAGATCTCTTGCAAACTCAGCCTTCTTTGATATCTTCAGTATTAAAGGACACTGCTCTTCATATTCACTTAAAACTTGCGCTGGTGTGAGTGAAGAAAAAGGCAGAAGAGCTACTGGTTTCCAAGTCGAATCCATAAATAGTGAAGCATCCCTGCAACTACCTACCTTGATTGAATGCAATCAGATCCCAAACAATAGAGAAGAGATTCCTACACCTGAGGCAGCATTACATCATGAACATTTAAAGACCATAGCGCATCTCATACCTGCACTCGACCCAAAGGCCCAAATAGTACTTCTCCTTGGGAGAGATATCATAAGAGTCCACAAGGTAAGAAAACAAATAAATGGTCCTCATAGTTCTCCATATGCTCAGAAGCTTGACCTGGGGTGGGTCATCATAGGTGATGTTTGCCTAGGAAATGTTCACAAGCCAACCACAGTGAATTCTCTTTACACAAATACCTTGGAGAATGGACGTCCATCCCTCTTTCAGCCTTGTCCTAACAGATTCCTTCTAAGAGAGAAGCCGGCAAGTGTGCTATATCCTGACTTTACAGAAACCGAGAACCACTCTTGCAGTGAAGACCAAGATCACTTGGGGTGCACGGTGTTCCAGAGGACAAAGGAAGACCACAAGATAGCTCCCTCTATTGAAGATGAGGCCTTCTTGGGCATAATGGAACAAGGATTCTTCAAGGATAAAACAAACACCTGGGTTGCACCACTACCTTTCAAAACACAGAGACGTCATCTTCCCAACAACAGGTATCAGGCCTTAAAACGCTTCTGTTCACTT